TACTGACACATGCTCCATACTAGACCATGAGCAGCCTGAGGGGTCCTTAGAGAAAAAGCAGCCCCAGGCCCTTCCTTCTACCCAGAGAGCATCCCTGGGGCATGTTACTGAATCAAGGAAAGAGACAAAATAGACCAGCAGACTACTAGGTGGTTCATGCGTCCTTGCCCAATAGAGATGTTCAATTTTGGGTGGTGAAACAAAGATCCACTCAGATTTCTCATTTTGGGGAAGTATCCACAGGATGCACCTCAGCCTTGACTGTGAACTTCAGCTCTGAGGAAAGGCTGTTGGAAGAAACAGAAGCAAAGGCAGCAATGAAGAGAAGCCAGGAACAGAAAGAAGCAGATTGAGGAAGAGTCCGAGAGAAGTCAACTCATAGCTAGAGTGAAGAACAGCTGTGCTCACTTAGGAGGGTACAAGATAGCCTGAGCAGCAGGGGTGCTTCTAGGAGTTCTGGAGCCATTGCTCCAGGGCTCTGTGTTCCTTACCCTGTAGTACTTTAAAAGGACCTCCAGCCATGAGGGTGACCCAAAGCTCTCTGTTCAATGCAGCTTATATATGGAGACAGAAATATGGCAAAGGGGAGAGGGGTGTGTGTGTGTGTGTGTGTGAGAGAGAGAGAGAGAGAGAGAGAGAGAGAGAGAGAGAGATTGTATTCCATATGGTTCTGAGCATACTATTCTGGGTAGCTGGTTGAGAATGAGGATTTAAAGATTTCACAAATCCCAGGCTGAAAGCAGAGGGTGTATCAAGTGTATCAATTATTGGAAACTTGAAATAGTACAAAACTTGTGGGATTTGATTTTGTCAGGTATTTTGTCACAGTGACAGGGAGTTAGCACACGTGTTTTACCACTTTACTTCAAAGCAAGGCCTCTGCTAACCCCTTCCCACACGCCACCAGCTAGATCGCTGAAGTCTCAGAGCACTTGGTCACTACACCCAGTTTGATGCACAGGATAACAGACCTGAGCCTTGATGTAAGGCACCATCAGAATGCTCTAAGATGCTGTGGGTAAACCAGCCTAGCAGTTCTGCAAAACATTAAGCCTGAAATTACCCTATGATTATTTGGTATTTATACTTCCATCTACTTTCAGGTACACCCCAAATAATTGAAAGCAGGGTGTCGAACAGGTCTTTCAATACAATGTTCCTAGCAGCATTATTCACAAAAGACAAAAGATGAAAACAACCCAAATGTCCATTGGTGGATAAGCAAAAAGTGCTATATGCATTTTGTGGAATATTCAACCTTGAAAAGGAAGGCTATTCTAACATGTGTTATAACACAGAAGAACCTTGAAAATATGCTAAATGAAATAGATCAGTCACCAAAGAACAAATATTATGTATTATTCCACTTACCTGTGGTGCGTAGGGAAGTCATAGCCACAGAGACAGAAAGTAGGATGGTAGCCACCAGGAGCTGACAGGAGGCAGAAATTAGGAACTATTGTGAGTGGACATAGAGTGTCAGTTTGGGATGCTGAAGACGTTTTGGTGATGATAGTAGAGAAGTTTGCACAACCGACCAAATGTACTTAATGTCACTAAATTATTCACCTAAAAAGGTGAATTTTACATGCCATGTATTTTACCGCACTAAAAAATGTGCTCTTAGGTGCTGCTAGACTGATGCCACGTGTAATACCGCTCGCATGCAGTAGGGGGGGAAGGGCTTTGAACTACAGACAATCTTGATTCAAGCCACTCCTGCAGCTCAGCCAATTCTGACCTTGTCAATGAATATTCCACACACCTGCTGCTCTGCAGGACGGTCCAGCTGGGGTAAGAACTGTTCGCTCTGTTTGTTGTGACACCCCTGAAAAAGAATGAAGTGTTGCACTGGGTCTTTTCTACAGAGGAGGTGATTTGGGCTAATGTTGATGGGAGGAGAATAGACTTCGATATTTTTTTTAGCACTTATTCCTTTGCCTAAAGATCAACGGGGCTATTGGTCTGAGGAAGCACCATGCAGGTGCTCGAAGGTTGGGGTTTTCTTTTACTGCCAATTAAAACTGGCTAATACACCTGCCCAGGAACTGTGTGAGTTTCCTCTAGCTTTTATTTTCCTGCAATGCATGAAAACAGCATCTGCTGGGTGAGATCTTTGGCTGTGGAAAACAATTGCTCCTTTACCTAGTTAAAAGCTGTGCATTTGTGTTGCCTGTCTAAAAGTGGGGCAGATTGGTGGATTTTGTACAATGTAGTTCTTTCTCAATTTCCTGCAGAGGTCCAAAGTGGCCCAAGATGGCCGTGTGGACTCTAGTCCTAGAAAAGCTTTCTTATAGACCATCTACACTGAACTATTGATTAGGATGTGTGGGTTTTGAGTTTTATTTTACAACTCCCTGAAGAATATACTTACACATAGACAAAGTCACTCAGATTTTGTGTCCTACTGCAATTTCGTAGTGCTTTAGAGAGAGGCACGGGAGTTGACGGGGGAGACCACCATGGCCACTGGCCAGTCAGTTGAACTCACCTTGACCATCAGGAGGGAGCTCCTTAACTGCTTATTCACTGTTCACCTTGATCAAGTTGCTTAACCTCTGAGTTTCAGCGTCTAGACCTGGGAAACTGGAGTAATACTGACCACCATTTTGTTGGGTTGCTGAAAGAACTGAATGAGACAATTTATGTCCATGTCAGACACATAGGAAACCCTTAAAAAGTTCATTCTTGCTATTATGTTGCAAATATCATTCAACATCAGGGTTTTTTTTTTTTTTAAGGCTTTCTCATTTGCCATTTGAATCATTGGGAAAAGAGAAATTAGAAGACTAAGAATATATTCTTTGGCAAACCACCCAACTGTCATTTCACTTTGGGTTTGGCCTTTTAATTACAAGCTATTAAGGAATGTCATTCTTTTGTTTTTCACGTGTTTTCAGCATAGTAGTAATAGCAGGAAAATGATAACAAGGTACGCTAATTACTGAATGCATCTTTCATCAAAAGTTTTTGTTGGGATTGGGGATGAGCTCATGATAGAGCATGTACTTAGCATGCTTGGGGCCCTGGGTTTACTCCCTAATCCCCTCCCCCAAGAAATAAGGCTTATATCCTTTCAGCAATTGTTTTTAATGAGTTACCATAATGTACATGCATTGCCCGAGACACAGGACCTTTATATTTTCTTAAATTAAGGGAAGTTCAGTGAGTTAGTTCCTCTCTCATTATAGCTCCAGATAGGGTTGTGGTGTCAGGCAGGGGAAGCAGTGGGTAAGAGATGGAAACTGACATTTTTAACCCAGGGGATTCCAGATAAAGTCCCCAGACAGATTCTGCATTTTGCAAGGGCCATGGCTCTCAGACTTAAAAGCTTAAAGTTAATAAGTTACTCTGTGAGAAGATAAAACTGAAGTCACCGTTATCAACTTAATGATCATACCTGCAGAATCCTGCAAAGTCATGATGGAGCCTGGGGTAGGGGTAGGGGACACAGTAATGTCAACCCTGTCTTTTTGAAAATGTTCCATATTTGTTCAATATGGATTTCACATTAATTTTGACTTTTAAAACTTTTTCATTAAAACATCATTTATTTTGATTACTGAGTTTATTGTCGACTCCTTAAAATTTGTGCCTTACAACTGGGTGCCGGTGGCTCACACCGCTTGAGATGCTAAGGTCACGAGGATCATGGTTTGAGGCCAGCCCTGGCAAATAATTTGTGAGACCCCCACGTCAACCAATAGCTGGGCATGTCATCCCAGCATCTGTAGGAAGCATGAATTAGAGGACTGTGGTCCAGGTTGGCCTGGGCAAAAAGTGAGACCCAATCTCCAAAATAATCAGACCAAAAAGGGCTGGAGTGGTGCCTCAAGTGATAGAGTGCCTGCCTAGCAAGTGTGAAGCCCTGAGTTCAAACCCCAGTACCACAAAAAAAAAAAAAAATTGTGCCTTGTTTTTGGCCCTGGTCTTGGCCCTGATAATGCTATCATTTATTAAGTGTGCCTCAATAAACAACAATCATAAAAATAAAATAAAGCAAACAAATAACAAAAGTTGTTTGAGAAGTCATCTAATGATGAAGACCTTACCAGAATTAATTTTTCCTAAGACATTTGAGGACACTTAGCAGTCTCTCTTTTCTTACTCACTCCCTACAAGAGAAGCAGTAGAGGAACAGACATTCTTCTGTCTGTGCACTGCAACTTCCCCAATGCCTAGAGAAGGTTTTGGCAAAATAGGTACGTAATACTTCTCTTGACCAATGAATACTATGAAAATGCTAGCTCTCCAACCACCTCCATCTGTGACAGTTGAACAACTTGACTCTTTTCTTAAGGTCCGTGTAATTTCTCCCTCCATGAGCTGCCTCCTCTGTGAAATGGGGAAACAGTACTTCCCTTACAGAGAATTGTGATAAATAAGAGCCCCTACATCCTAGGAGTGAGTGCACTTTCTATATATCCTGGCACATGGAAAGTCTCCAAGAAAGAGAAACTGTGTTTTTTAAATTGTGCTGTTATTTGGCAGTAATTCAGATTGCTTTGGCATAAGAACAGGTATCATCTTCTCTGTCTCTATGTTTTGGACCTTCAAACACCGGGGTAAGTGTTGATGAAAGTCAACGATCACCCTGCATGCACACATCCAAAAGTTAAGATGCAACTTTATGATAGTAATACAAGGGCCACAAAAAAGTTACTTTCAATTTTCTTAAAACCTTCAGGCTATCAAAAGGGAAGTGGGAGAGGATATAGAATCTGACCTGACAAGGCTTCTAAGCTGAGCAGGGGAGAAGCACGTCTGCAACCTGTGGCACTCTCTCTGAGGATCCTGACCTGCCTCAGGAATGGGGAGATGGCACATAGGAGCTGGCTTGGAGCTCTACCAGCCAAGACTCTGAGATCAAGTCAAAGATTCTATTCCAGCCTTTTGAAGAATAGAGTCAGATGTTGACTTTTTAAAAAATAATTAAAATTCTCCAGGACTTAACAAACCAATAAAAACCCAATAATAATATATTCTGTCTTTCTAGGGCTTCGAACTCATCTTTATTATTCATGTGAGGAAACCTGTGATAAAATCCTTGGAAACACAATGCAATTTCTCAGAAACATTTACATATTTTGTAATATTCTTATATCAATAGAGTGCTGGGTTCCAAAGCTGGCAGAAGAAAGGGAATTGACTGCCAACTGCTCCAATATGTCTTTGAGAAAGGTTCCCCCAGACTTGACCCCAGCCACAACCACACTGGATTTATCCTATAACCTAATTTTTCAACTCCATAGTTCAGATTTTCATTCTTTCTCCAAGCTGCAAGTTTTGATTCTATGCCATAACAGAATCCAACAGCTGGATATAAAGATCTTTGAATTGAACATGGAGCTAAGATATTTAGATTTGTCTTACAATAGACTGAAGATTGTAACTTGGTATTCACTGGCAGGTCTCAAACATTTAGATCTTTCTTTTAATGACTTTGACACCCTGCCTATCTGTGAAGAGACTGGCAACATGTCACATCTGGAAACCCTAGGTTTGAGTGGGGCAGAAATACAAAGGTCAGATCTCCAGAAAATTGCTCATTTGCATTTCAGTACTGTCTTCTTAGGATTGAGAACTCTTTCTCGTTATGAAGAAGGGAGCCTGCCCATCTTAAACACAACAAAACTTCACATTGTTTTACCAAGGGATGCAAATTTCTGGGTTCTTTTGTGTGATGGAATCAAGACTTCAAAAATATTAGAAATCACAAATATAGATGGCAAAAGCCGATTTGTAAATTATGAAACACCACAAAACCTCACCTTCAAGAATGCCAAGACATCTACTCTGTTATTTAATAAAGTTGACTTACTCTGGGAAGACCTTCTCTTTATCTTCCAATTTGTTTGGCATACATCAGTGGAATACTTCCAGATCCAAAATATGACTTTTGGCAGTAAGGTTTATCTTGACCACAATTCATTTGACTACTCAAATACTGTAATGAAAGCTGTAAAATTGGAGCATATACATTTCAGAATTTTTTATATTCCACAGGATAAAATCTACTTGCTTTTTACCAAAATGAATATAGAAAATCTTACCATATCAGATGCACAAATGCCACACATGCTTTTCCCTAATTACCCTAAAAGTTTCCGGTATTTAAATTTTGCCAATAATATCTTAACAGATGATCTGTTTAAAAAACCTATCCAGTTGCCTTATTTGAAAACTCTCATTTTGAAGGGAAATAAACTGGAGACACTTTCCTTAGTGAGCTGTTTTGCTAACAACACATCATTGATGCACTTGGATCTGAGCCAAAACTTGTTGCAACATAAAAATGATGAAGATTGCATGTGGCCAGAAACTTTGGCTACCATGAACTTGTCATCCAATAGCTTTTCTAATTCTGTTTTCAGGTGCTTGCCCAGAAGTATTCAAATACTTGACCTGAGTAATAACAAAATTCAATTCATTCCTAAAGAGATTATTCATCTGAAGTCTTTACGAGAGCTAAATATTGCATTTAATTCTCTAACGGATCTCCCTGGATGCAGTCATTTCACAAGACTCTCTATTCTGAACATTGAAATGAACTTAATTCTCAGCCCATCTCCAGATTTTTTTCAGAGCTGCCATGAAGTAAAGACTCTAAATGCAGGAAGAAACCCCTTCCGGTGTACTTGTGAATTAAGAGATTTCATTGGACTTGAAAAGAGGTCACAGGGCATGCTGGTTGGATGGTCAGATTCATACACCTGTGAATACCCTTCAAATCTAAAGGGCACTCTACTAAAAGATGTTTATCTCCCTGAATTATCTTGCAACACAGCTTTGTTGATTGTCACCATCATGGTCATCATGCTGGTTTTGGGAATGGCTGTGACCTTCTGCTGCCTTCACTTTGATCTGCCTTGGTATCTGAGGATGCTGTGCCAATGGACGCAGACATGGCACAGGGTTAGGAAGATGAGGCGGGAACAGCTTAAGAGAAATGTGCAATTCCATGCATTTATTTCATATAGTGAACATGATTCTCCCTGGGTGAAGAATGAATTGATTCCCAGTCTGGAGAAAGAAGATGGTTCTGTCTTGATTTGTCTTCTTGAGAGGAACACTGACCCTGGCAAGAGCATTGCCGAAAATATCATAAGCTGCATTGAGAAGAGTTACAAGTCCATCTTCGTGTTGTCTCCCAACTTTGTTCAGAGTGAGTGGTGCCATTATGAACTCTACTTTGCTCACCACAGTCTCTTCCATGACAATTCTGATCGCGTTATTCTTATCCTACTGGAACCCATTCCCTTGTATTGCATTCCTGCCAGATTTCACGAGTTGAGTGCTCTGATGGAAAAGAAAGCATACATGGAATGGCCCAAGGATAGGCGTAAATGTGGGCTCTTTTGGGCAAACCTTCGAGCTGCTATTAATGTTAATTTCTCAGACATAAGACAAAGGTGTGAACTACAGACATTCACAGAAGCGAATGAAGAATTTGGAGGTTCTGTAGTCTCCCTGGTAAGAACAGATTGCTTATAAAACCCCACCCCCCAGGGAAAATGGGGACCACATTCACTGGTGGAATATACATGGGTACCACCTTCACAATGGCAATTTGGCAGTATCTATTAAAATTATAAATGGTTATTCCATTTGTGTTCTCAGAAACACCTGCACAGCCTTGCAAGTGTTCATGTAAATATGTATTTATGCCAGCATTGTTTATAATTGTGAAAATTTGAAAAAGCATCCTAAATGCTCATAAAATAAGGATTGACTCAATAAATAATAGTATATCCATGTAATAGAATATTGCATAGCTATTAAAAAGAATGTGGTAGCTCTATATTTACTTGGATGGAGGAAATAATATTAATATGTTAGTTTACATATTGAAATGAAAGTCTAAAAGAATCTATATCAATATACTTGTATGGTAATGGTGATTTGGATCCGGTATACTACAGGGAGCATTTCATTTTTGTGTTGTATATTTCTATAATGTTTGAATTGCCTAGAGGAATCTATATTTCTTTTGCAAGTAAACAAAAAAACCAATAAAGACAATTTTTCAAACCTATAAATATTATCCATTTTGCTTGATTCTAGTCTCACAGGTCACAGGCAGAAACAAGCACTCCTCAATTTTGCAAAATCATATCTCAAAGAAAAAAACCAGCATGGTTGGGGTGGGCATGGCTCAGTGAGAGTCTGGCTTCCCTAGCATTCATGAGGACTTTGGTTCAATCCCCAGCAAAAACAAACAACAAAACTTCTATCACGGGGCTGGAGTTGTGGCTCAAGTGGTAGAGTGCCTGCTTTGTAAGAACAAAGCTCTGAGTTCAAACCCCAGTCTCAACCAAAATAAAAAAAAAAATCCATCATGTCACTTTCCTGGTTGGAATTTTTTTTTAAGTTTACTCACATAAAAAAGAAAAAAAGTCATGAAATTTTAAGGTGTGATCCTAAGCTCTTCTTATCTCTTTGCATCCTACACTGAACTTCATCAAGTCATTGGCCCTTCCCAGAACTCAGCATCTCCCCAGCCCTCAGCCCCTCCATTGCTGTCATCCTGCTTACAGGGCCTTCCCACCTTGGTGTTTGGGAAATTGTATGCTTCCTTCAAAGCACAGCACAAATGTCAGCTTTTCTTAGAAACTTCCTTTCTCTTCCCCCTGAAAATGATGCTCCTCCATTTTCTTTAACACCTTGGACAGATTTCTGTCACCAAACAGACTATGTACATCATTAAAGTTTCTCTTTCTCACTCGATTATGAACTCCCAAAGGCCAGACAACTGTCTGCCCCTGCAGTTTGCGCTGTTCCTGCTTCCAAAAATATGCCCAATGAGCACTTATGGGATGGTGTTGGGTTGATCAGAGGATCCAGTGGAACTCATCCAGCTTCAGGATAGATGGTGTCATTTGAAGGCAAATTACAAGAAGCTGGGAAAGCAGAGCAGGAAGAGGTTAAACTCAGATGAAAAGACAGAGAATCCAGAATTGAAGGAATCCTGAATGTAGCTTGAGTCATGTGAAATTGCCAGTCTTTGGTTGCTTTTGACCTACAAAAGACAGCTGTTTTTCATCTCATTCAACCTAATAAGCAGCTCATAAACAGATAAAGACTGGATTTTGCATCTACTTTATTTCCTTATAGTTTGTATTCTTTTGAATTTCTCATATTAGTAGTTATTTTAAAAAATTGCACCCAACATGGCTGGCCAACCTGAGTGTCTGGAGGAGAGGGCTGGGTGTTAATCTGATAGCCAGGTTGTACCACCATTTGACCAGAGCTAGAGCTAAGGAGCTGGAAGTCAGCAGCCTTGAGGCCAAGGATCTCTCTGTCCCCTCCCACGGGAACCCATGGTCTGTTTGGCACAAGGGGAAAGTCAAGGAAATCACAGTGGGATGAAGCCAGAGGGTGGGGAGAATGCCTCTCCTGGGGTAGGCACTGACAGGGCTGTGGTTCTTGGCTTCTGGAGAAATAGAACAGATTCTGTATGAGGGTTTGTAAATCTTGAGGATGTTACTTGCCACATAGCATTTACCTTGAAAGGTGAATTGGTCTAGAACATGAAAAGATTGATTTATTTCATAATAGAATCCTCAGTTTAATAATACAGTTTAAAAACAGATGTTTTTACTAGAGTTTACAAACTAACACATTAGGCTTAGCTCTCAGCAACTTCTTATTTCAGCAGCTGGACAACCCTTAAATCTCACCCATCAGACCAGTATATACTTCTTTCTCAGAAGCTTAGACACCATCCAAAATGTCCTAATATGCTCGGTTTTGGCTGTTACAACTTATAATCAGAGAAAATGAATTTTATGTTAGTAGAATGTTATTTGCTTTGGAGGCCTCTTGACATAGAAGTAACACCTAGCCTCATGCAAACCTGATGGTAGAAATACTTTTGCTCAAAGAATTTCATATTTCAGCAAGGATTCATTCTGCCGAACCATGACGCCACAGGGGAGTGAGCATTCTGCTGTGTGCTGTACCAGAAGCCAGTGGAACAAGTCTGATTGTGTTCTGAAAAGACTGCTGATCTTGTGAACTTGCAAGACCCTTTGCATTTTCTTGCCACTGGTGGGGTTAGAGCTTCCTCCATTTCCTCCCCATGGAGACTGAAGTCTGTATCAATGAGGTTGGAGTCGATCTGTGGATCCTTCAGACCTCTTCACAATCACAAACGGCAATCTTTCCTGAATGTCAACATTCAAATTGTTGAGAATGGTTTGTATTCTCTCAGTAGATATGGCAAAGAGGACTGTACTGACATGAAATTGTTTTTCTCGAATCCCAAATAGATGTGGGAGGAGGAAAAGTTTTAGATTTAACTTATGGCAAACGCTCCCCCAAGGTTCACCTCCACCTATCATGATAACTGTCCAAGGAAAGCATAGTCTACGGATACTTGAAGATTTAGATTATCAAGTATAGCTCCCAATTTCAAATGGGAAACCTGAGGCTTTAAAATTTCAAATGACTTTCCAATCCTAAGGACAAACATTAGCTTTTTAATTCCTGGATTAATGCCTTTCCTTCCAGTTCCCAGCAAAGTGGAGTTCAGCTTTTGCATCTGATTTTTATTATCTCAATCCTTAGAGTACTTTTCTCAAGATCAGAGCCGGATTGGGCTCTTTGCTTATTCTGCCTATACTCCCAAAGTCATTTGTGACTCGGGCTCTCTGTGGATAGCTCCCCCACTGCCAAAGCATCCATATTTGCTGTCTGGTTCCCATCCTAAAACAACACTCTTGCTATAGAGCCAGCTTTTCAGATCAGCTATTTGGTCCACAAACCAGAGTGTCCTCTGTGCAAGGGATGGAGAATGTTGGGCACCCAGATTCTCCTGGGACACTGAAGGAAACTTCATCACTATACCCTGCTGGCGGTACTTCCCACACCCCTGAGCTGCATTACCACCTGCTGGGCTGTGACCCATGAGGAACTCTGGCATTGATCCCCTTAGCCTGCTACAGGGCTCCCTGAGAGGCCATTTGAGAGCATGCCTGACAGTGCATCCTCAAGTCCCCACAGGAAGTAAGCACAGTAGGTATCTCCTGACCATGCACTTGGAAGTGGCCTACATCTGGACGTCAATTTCAACAGCCAGCTGTTGAGCTGCTGTAGTCCTTCATAGACACGGAGCTGTGGAACTGCTAGGAGACGTTGTGTTCCAGTTGTCCAAGAACCAAGGTGCAGCCAAAGATAGGGTTGTTGGGGGTCCAGGTTAGGGAGGTTGAGTGGGGGCTCTTCACTAGTACAACCCCAGACAGCAGCCTTGCCCCAGTCTGCCTCCTCACAACGGGAGAGGTTTATCCTCAAATGCGCCTTGGTGGCGTTGTCCAAGTTGCCTCAGGGGTAACTGAGTCAGCAATGCATGTGCATTCTAATAATTAGTTTAAAATAATGAATGAAAATCCAGTGGAGTGGGCTCTAAACCTACTTGCATTTTCCTAAGACAGTTCAACATTCCCTTTTCCCCCCAAATCTTTGCTCCAGTCACATTCCCAGTGAAGACTTAATTGAAAGAGTGGCACTCATTATCCACATGCCTGCTTTTTATTTCTCCAAAGCATTTGCTACTTTCTGAATTCCTTTACCATTTTTCTGTTTATCCTGAATGTTCCTGTCTTCCCCAACTAACACAAAAACTCTGAGAGCAGAGATCTTTCTCTGTTTTGCTCATGGATGTTGCTTAGAGAGTACCCCACTCCAGGTACTCTCTGAAGGACCCCAGGGTGTGTGTGGACTCCTTGTTGCTCTTCTGAAGTGCAGCAGGGCTTCTGTCATCCCTGTGAGACATGGATTTTCCTCACCAGAGGTCACTCCTCCCCTTCAATAAGTGTATTATTGCTGACACTTTCTGGGAGCTGCCATCACTGGCCTGTTGTCCCTACTCCCCCATCCCCGTACTCTATGACTCTGTCTTCACTTCCTCCCTGGTCACTGGCTGACCTCAGGGACTTGCCCTTGAACTAGTTGAGTCTACAGATTATACAAATCACTACAAATGGGGTACATGGCTCCCCCCAACACTTTCTGGTGACAACCACTATCCCTGTTCTTTTTGCTGTGTCAGCTTTTCTAGAAGAGAAAGGGCAGTGTTGGGCCAGCAAAGCTTCTGCCACAGAACCACATCTCAGCACTTTGGAGGGCCTTCCTTGAATTTTCTAATCTTTTCAGGGAATGGGACAAGCCAGGACCGGCTTCTTCTCCGGTTGGAGAATCCCAGCCCAGATCCAGACGCAGACCCATATGGACCTCCATCTTCCTTTCTCCCTTTTGAAGAACTTTCAAGCCTCTACCCTGAACACAAGGTCAAGCAGATAGCCTAAGGAGCTCTGGAAGTCGTACCCATGGTACGACTCAGGTTGGTGACCGAGTACCCATTTGAGGTGGGCAGCCTGGCAAGTAGACCCATCCCTGCTGGCTGATGTAATGTGGGGTCAGCTGAGATTGAGCACAGCAGGTGCTGATGTACTTCAGTGCTCTGGGCTTGCAACGGTTACCCCCCAACCCTTGGTCTCAAGCAACCAGCGTGGCCTGTGTCTATCTGTGTTTTGATATGGTACTACTCTTGTCTTTAACACTTGAGGACAGCAGGTAGGTATTCCACCTTTCCATCAGTCTCAG